AGGTACTCCTAAAAGGCTAAAACCCATACTTACTAACTCTCCAAATCAATTTTGATTAACATTGATTAAAAAATACAGATTTAAGAGGAGAAAGATTGGATATATTCATGACTAAAATCTTTCCAAACTTGCATGAACCCACATCCTGACGGCAATTTAAATGGCTCAAAGACTTCTAATAAATCTAGTTGTCCATTAAAGTAGATTATCTAAACTTGATTTAATTGGCTTATGTTGATGGTCAAGCCAAGCAACAATTAATTAGATAATAGTTTGAAACTTATAATCAATTTCTCCTCAACACTGTATTTGTCAAAAGATTTTAGTTTTGGTTAAATACTTTTTTTGGTCCCTCTACTATAGGAAAAAGCCTTTTTTTGGTCCTTGTACCGAAAAAATCCTCTTTTTGGTCCTTACTATTCACAAATCCGACCCTTTTTTAGTCCCTCCGTTAAATTTTAGCTGATGTGACAGGTTAATTAACGAAAAAATTCATTTTGTTTTTTTTATTAAATTACGTGAAAAATCCACGTGGAAAAAATTGATGACATGTTAAATTTTTTATTTTTAATTACTAATTTACCCTCAAAGATTGATGACATGGTAAAATTTTTTCCTTTAATTACTAATTTACCGTCTTCTTTCTTCCCCATCCTCTCCTTCGTCCGGCCTTTTCTTTTTTTCCTTTTTCTCTTTTTACCTCTAGGCGATGGGTTCGCGAGATGCGAACCCAGGAGCCTGGGTTCGCACCTCGCGAACCCAAGAGCCTGAAAGCAGAGGAGGGAGACGATGAACTGGGGTGGGGCAATAGACCCTGAAAGCAGAAACCAGATCTTTGTGTTGGGGATTGGGGGCCTGAACGGAAGGTCCTGGTTTTTGAATCTTCTGCTCCGGTTGCTCTGGCGGTGAACACATCGGGGCCCTTCTGAACCGCGCATGTCCAGTTCTCGGTCGACCCAGTAAAGAAATCATTTTTTTGAAATGATTGACGGCAACATCGGCGACGGCGTTGATTTCCACGGCGGGTTCCTTATTTCTGAAGGAGGCATCTACGTTCAAATCCTTCGGTTGAGTTTCCGAGATCAATCTTAACAGCTCCTGGACTCCTTCAATCCCAGCAGTCGCAGCATCTCTAACAGCACTCTCCTCCATCTTGGCTGAAAAACTACCACCGTTATAACCCATCAACTCCACCGCCATCTCTCAACCACCATCCATGGAAACCCCCCCGATCTTGTCTTAATTCTTACTCGGAACAAATAAATTTATATACACATCCATGAGCTGGGTTCGCGAGCAACCCAGGCTCCTGGGTGCGAACCCACGAGCTGGGTGCTCACCCAGAGCCTTTTTCTCCTTCATATTAACACTGGTTGGTTCATTTTGTTTGTTCGTTATGGCTGCCTTTTAGGTTTTGCGAACCCAGGCTCTTGGGTTTGCTCGGAGGTAAAAGAAGAAAAAAGGCTGGAGGAAGGAGAAATCGGGGAAGAAGACGAGGGTATATCAATAATTAAAAATAAAATATTTAGCATATCATCCATTTTTACCACGCGGAAAATTCACGTAATTTAATAAAAAAAGAAATGAGTGTTTCCGTTAATTAACTTACCACATCAACTAAAATTTAACGAAAGGATTAAAAAGGGGTCGGATTTGTGAACAGTAAGGATAAAAAAAGAGATTTTTTTGGTACAGTGACCAAAAAAGGGCTTTTTCTTATAGTAGAGGGACCAAAAAGGGTATTTAACCTTTAGTTTTTGATTGATCAAAATAATAAAATAGTATAAATTAGGTTTAAGTACCATTTTGGTCCCTCAACTTTACACTTTGGTACCAAAATTGTCCCTCACCTTTAAAAAGTACCAAAATTATCCTTGAACTTTCATTTTTGGTACCAAAATGGTC